TCTTTGAATGCGGGCCTAGCTGTACCGCTTCTAGAGAACCAGCCTGGATACCAGCTTCAGCCCAATGCCAAAAACTAAAGGCATAATCCCAGAACACAGGGAGGAGAGAAGGCAGGTGAGGACACGGCAGGGAAGCAGCCACATAAGGAGGGTGGGAAAGGCCTCCCAGAGGCAGCCTCTCTTATATGAGGTAGCGGCAAGAGCACTCGTCTTGTGTGGCTGGTGCAGAGTGAGGAAAGGAAAGTTCAGAGGGGTGTGACTATCTGGCATCCTTGGCGACTCTACGAATCCTTGAAGGGGCCCAGCAGGCTGTGTGCTGTGCATGACATCCTCTGCTCATAGAGCCCCACTTCAGTGCCTGCCTGAGATGGGTGCCTCCTATGCTTATACTCCTCAGTTCCGCTGCTGTGCTGTTGGCAAACACAGTGAGCGCCATGGCAGTAGCCCACCGTTGTGCTAGCGTCTGCCCTGAAGCACAGCGCCTAAGGCAGTGAGTCTGCCTCCCCTTCCACAGGTGGTACCTGGGGGCCACTTTCCAGCTCTGCAGGATGAGCTGGAGGCAGCGTCTTGCCCTGAGGGACTTGGAGTCCTAGCTACACTGACAAGTGTGGGTGGGATGTGCAGAAATTTGGGGCACCAAGAACTCACCAGGTCTTTGTTCCAGGCAGGTCCTCAGGGAATAGCCTGAGTGCAAAGCTTACAGAGACGAGCTCTCTAGGATGCCCAGGAAGTTGCTTGCTAAGCTGGCAGAGCCAGGTTAGAGGTGACCTCAGTCTGTGAAGGAGCCAGCATGGCAAGGAGCAGAGGAAGTATGGAGTCTCGTGAGAGCGGGAACAGTCATTGAGACAGAGCTGGGCGTCTAGGTAGGACAGGGAGACATGGCTAGGGCCTCAGGGGCGTGTGCTGGCTTTCTCCATCAGATATGTTTTTGACAATTATTTTTAGAGTCAGGGGAGCCTGGACTCAGCAAAGTGTAAGCTAGTCCAGCCGAAGGAAAAGAGTGATATAAGCTCCTTTGCACTCCAGCCTCCTGTTCTAGCCATACTAATCACAGGTCTTTGCGCTGCAGCAGCTGGCAGCTGAGTCTAGGTGTGACCTTGTGCTTTGCTTTCCTTACCTGCCAATGGTGATAGTCACCGTGCCTGCAAATGGTAGGTCTGTTCAAGGAGGTGTCTGGTGCTCGGAGCTGTGCCCTCTCCTCGGAGCTGTGCCTGCTCCGTGGCCTGCACTGGATCAGTAGCCGGTGCTCTTCCCAGCCTCAGACATTCTTTGACCTGGCACATGCTAGGAGCTCGGGGACACATCCTGATATTTGTTCAAGCTCATGGGTCCTGGATGTTCAGGGATGCGTCTTTTGGCTCAGACTCTGCCACAGGGCTTTCTGGAGAGGACCTGTTCTTCCACACCCATCGAGCTTGGGGCCAGAGGAAACGGCAACTTTCTTCGCTGGGAAAGTGTTGTGGGGCTTAATCACTTGGGGGTTTTTAGAGTCAACCGTCAGAGGCGAGGGAGTTTCTCTGCTGGCGGTGACGGGGCTCTCAGCGAGCTCACAGCCTTGTGAACAGACCGCTGCGGTCTGCAGGGAAAATGCCGACTGTGTTTATTTTTTACCTGAACCTGCAGGAAGTGGGGGGCCAGAGGCAGCCTAGCTAGGCCCAAGCTCAACTCTTGAGCAGAGAGCTCAGGGGTCCCCCATTTCTGCCTTGTGCTGTGTTGCCCTGAAGAGGTATCCAGGCTAGGGCACTAGAGTTAGGGACTTCCCAGATGGGACTGCTGAGGGTGGGTGTAGGGAGTCTTTGAACACCAAGAACATTCCAGCAGCAGGAAGGACCACCTCTGTTGGGGGGGAGCTAGTCACCAGGTAGGCTACAGGCTAGATAACTCCTGGCAGGAATAGCTGAGGCACCCCTGGGGCCCGAGTCCTAGACCAAGCTGGTGGACACAGTGCCAGCACTCGGCAAAGGCAAGGAGTAGGGAGGTGGGTGCCTGATGTGGGGGATACCTGAGTGCAGTTGAGTCCCTGACTCGTGCTGTGTGTTTATGTCCCACTGTGCTCTGACACTTGCTGTGCTCTTTCCCTAAGGAGATAAGGGGATTGTGCTGTTGAGGTACTCAGTGCCTGGTGGGGACAGTCAGCCCAACCTGCCTCCTTCCATAGGAGGCTAGGGACAGTCACCCTCAAGCAGAAGAGGGAGGTGGAGCTCGAGTCCCTGAACTTCCCATGCACATGCCAAGCCCTGGGTGACCCCACCCTGTCGTCTGGGAAGTCTGGCGCTGAGAAAGCCTTGTGCTGAAGCCCTGGAGCGGGACGTTCTCCTAGCTGAAGGGGGCAGGGAGCCTTGTGCCAGACAGTTCCCCTGGCTAGCAGCATCAGGCATGGAAGGGTCTGAGGAGTTGGGTGAAGAGGCAGACTGCACAAACTTGAGAAGGAATGGCCAGGCCCGTGGTACCTTTCCTAGAGCCCTGGTCTTCGGTGCCTCTAGCGGCTGGTGGTTTCTTTGCCCCTACTCTGCCACCCAGTGTTTCTATGGTTTGGCTGCAGGCTTCTAATTAATGAAGGTTTACCCCAAATACCAGGAAACTAGTAGACAGGACAGGCCCACCACTCCCAGGACCCACAACCCTAGCCTCACTGCCTTGTACACACGCACGCGCACGTGCACGCGCACACACGCACAGCAAGCAGGCATTGTAGGGTGATGAGCTGGATCTCTGAGGTTTCTTAGGCCCAGCCCAAGCTGCACTGCAACCTGGGGTTGAGGAAGCACAGCTGGGCCTTAGGCAGTGAATAGTGCAGAGCCTTAAGCCAGGGTTTAATACTCCCAAAGGAGTGGGGTGGCCACTAGGCTGTTGGCTGGCTGGCCCTGTCTTGCAATCCATGAGGATAAAAAAGGCTTCAAAGATTGTCAGGAAGCTTCCTATTGTAAAGGGCCTCAGCACTCAGCAAGATTTTTTTTTTTTTTATGAGGTGGGCAGGACTGATTATCATTCCTGTTTAGGAGGGGAGAAGCCCAGTTCAGGATCCTGGAGTGACAGGATCAGGAAATGGTCAGCAAGCCTAGAGCTTCCAAACTTCCTCCACACCATGGTATCCTCAGACCTTAACCCTGGGTAGGGTGCTGGGGGACTCCTGGCACTGCACGCAGACACAGTGGAAGGCAGTGCTGTTCTCACACAGCTCTCACCAGGAAGATTGACGTGATCTGCGTCAGCTGGAGCCTGGCAAAGGGGCAGAGAGCATAGTGGTCCAGGTGAGAAGCAATGGCTTAGACTGTTGGGAAGGAGGCAGGAAGTGGTTAGGGTCTAGATTTTGAAGGTTGAACATTAGAACCTGAGATTGGCCATAGGGTCAGTGTCAAGAACGACTACAAGGTTGTCTGTTCTGAGTCATCAGTTAATGGAGGACCGGGGCTTCTAGTAACCGAGGACGTCCACAGCGTGCAGGCAGAGTCAGGTTCTGATTCGAGGGTTGAGGGTGTAGCTCAGTAGAGAGCACTTGCATGAGTATAGAGTTGGGGACACTTTAGGCCTAGAGTTAAGGCACTTACAAACTTATACACAGTGCCCGGCATGTGGCACACTGTGCCTAACATGTCCTCACATTTAACAGCCACCCCAGATCACTCCTCTCCTCCCTTAATGGACACACTGTATAGCTCTGGCTATGGCTGGCCTTGAACTCATCCACTTGCCTTGGCCTCTAGAGTTCTGGGATTAAAGGGGAGCTTCAGTATACTTAGCTTCCACCATCAGCTCTTGTCTAAGACAGAGGGAAGCCTAGGGAGTCCAAGACTTGAGGGAAGGTGTAGCAGGAACGCAGGGAAAGATGGCAGACCAGGACTTGTGTAGAGATGTACTGGAGCTGTGTCTAGTTAGACACCTCATGCCCCGGCTACATGGGGCTCATACCCAGCCTTCCCTCTGGCTTTTCCCTAGAGCTGCAGTAACTAAGTAACAAGCAAGGGACCTGTGCCAGGCCTCATTCACTTGCAGGAGGGACACACAAGAACTAAGGGTTGTTCTGAAATGAAGTGCTCACAGCGGGCTTTACCTGCTCTCCCCATGTCTTGGTTCTTCATTTTGTGTCATGGTGAGCAGTCGTTCCTGCGTGCTGTCAGCCAGCAGCACTCCCACAGACCAATTATCTGGGTGGAAGCAGAGCCTCGGTTGTAGATGTCCCAGTGCACCGTCTGAAGGGCATACACTGAAGACACTAGGCCTGGCAGCGACTCCCTGTGGCTGGGCAGAGTACACTCCTTCAGTCTGCTGAGTCTTCTCTTGGCAGAACCATTTGACTGAAAAGTCCTGCAACTAAGGAAACTGTGTGTGTGTATGTGTGTGTGTGTGTATACACAGGCCGTCCCTGGGGGGAGCCAGGTACCACCTGACCTCACCCAAGTTAGGGGCTAAAGAAGGTCCCTACCCTGTGCCAACACATGCAGTTAGAAGTGAGGTGGGCCGGGCGGTGGTGGCACACACCTTTAATCCCAGCACTCGGGAGGCAGAGGCAGGCAGATCTCTGTGAGTTCAAGGCCAGCCTGGTCTACAAGAGCTAGTTCCAGGACAGGCACCAAAAAAGCTACATACAGAGAAACCCTGTCTTGAAGAAGAAAAAAAAAAAAAAAGAAGTAAGGTAGATAGTATGGGGGCTGTCGGAGGAAAAGGCCGGAAGACAGCCATGGATTTCATAGAATCTGGGTTAAGGGGGGGATTTCTGGGACCGGGAGGCCAGGAAGGACTTCTTGAGAGAAGAAACAGAGTGTCCTAGAAGTCCCAGAAGAGGCTCACTAGGAAGTGGGACTGCATAGACAGTCTCCAGGACTGAGACACAGGAAAGCAGTGCCACAGGACCCAGGTGTGTAGACTGCCTTCCTCCCATAAGCTTGTGATGTTGACTGCCAGGCTGACCATGGAGCTCACTGAAGTTTCGCATGCCCCCACACTCTGTGTCCCCCGTCCCAGAACACTCCATGTTTATCAGATTCCTGGTCATTTTTCAGCATAACAAGGCTGGCCAGCCCCCACATGGCGTCCCCCAACTTTCTCCACTCTACGAACATTTCAGCAGTCCACACCCCAACCCTGCACCTGCGGACATCAACCAGAAGCAAGGTATGGGATGGAGTGGGAGAAGTCTATTGAGGTGGGAACTTGTAGCCCACCTGGCTTCTGAGGTCCCATAGGCTGGCCCACATTTTATAACAGTAGATGCTGGGACTTTGCAAACCCAGGGCCCAAAGAAAATGACAGAAAGGAACCAGGTGTAGTGGTACACACCACACCTATAATCCAAGTAGTTTGGAAAGCAGAGGCAGGGGATTGAAAGTTTGAGGTCAGCCTGGGCCACACAATGAATTCCAGACAAGCCTGGGCTACAAAAACAAGATTCTGCCTTAGAAGGGAATTTTAAAAAAAGTTAGAAAGGGACTGAATGCATTGCTGCAGCTGAAAAGCTTGAGCCCTTTCTCCCCCAGTGAGAAAATAGAAAGTGGTGGTTGTGATGGCTGATTCACCTCAGCCTCAGCCAAAGTCATTCTGAAATCCACCATTGTCAGCTGTGGGAAACCTGCTGACTCAACCTGGGGCTGGGTGGAGCCCTTGCTCTTCAGGCCAGGTTCCTCTAGGCTAAGGGCTGCCTTCTACTCAAAGAGCCAGGCCATAGTCCTAAGCAAAGGCTCCAAAGACAGTGCCTCAGGAATTGGTGAGGTCAGACCTCATTCCTGAGTGACTCCAAGCTCCGCCTCTGTCCAGCCAGTGTCCTAAGGCAAGTCACTAAGCACCTCTGTCCTTGGTCCCTTTTGCTTTGTCAGAAAGTCCTTGTTATTACCCCAAGACAGTTTTAAACAAACCAGCTGATATCTGGGCCTCTGGCAAAAGGAAGTGGGTTCTTAGAAGCCCCTGTAGAAGCTCCAAGGTACAGTAACTGCTGAATGTCCTAACTTCCCACATGAGGGTGGACTGCTTACTGAGCCCTTTTCCCCTACAGGAGTTCACAGGCCACTGCAGACCCCTGATCTCTCTGGATTTTACTCTCTGACCTCAGGCAGCATGGGACAGCTCCCCCACACTGTGAGCTGGTAAGTGTGGCCCAGAGAAAAGGGGGCACTGTGTCTGCCCTCTCCATGCTCTTCCTTTACCCATCTTATCGAGACCTGAGCTGCCAGCTCTGTAGCCAGCAGTTTTAGCCTAATCTGGCTCTGAGCTAGCAATTCTTATGACTGTGAGCATCCCCCACAGGTAGCTTGACATACTTCCTCTAGGGAGCTAGGAAAGCTGCTGCTGGTCTCAACCCTCCAACTAAATTCTTCAGAAGGTGAGATAGAAAAGTTGGACATGTACAAGGAATGTATAAAGCCCCACGAGGAGAGGCTACTGCCTCTCAGCAGCGTGGTGAGCAGACAGGTAGCTTCCTGGTGGCCTCGGTGCTACTGCTGTAGACACCAGGCAGAAAGGGCAATATGAGGAACAGGGTCCTTCTGGTCTCTGGTGTTTGCTTGAGCCACACTTCTGACCAGCCTACTGGGAAAGTCTGCTAAGGCTAGACCAGGCCCGACTGTGGACCAGTCTGTTCTCAGCTGGAATTGGGTCTCAAAGGGCCCCTTGGCCTGCCTTTTACTCATTAGCAGTGTGACATGAACAGTTCTCTAATCAGTAGCAGGAAAGGCCAGACCTTCAGCCTGGGCCTACTGGCCCTGTTGTACTTGCCCATCATCCGTGATCAGCACTCCTCCAAATATTTCCAGATTGTTTGCACAAAGTTCCATTCTACCCCATGATTACCCCCAGGACCAAGATGGGGCTCAGTACTCAGCCTGATGGTACCAGGCCAGTGCTCTGAACAGGCAACTCCCTGGACAGCTCCTAAGTCCCCTAGGCCTGAAGCTCCAAAGACCAGGAAGTCTGAGGATATTCACCAGCTGAGCCTCTGGAGAAGGGTATAGGCCCAGGGAAAGAAAGCTCTATGATCTTAGCTGCTGCCAGGTGAGACTTGGGACAATTTCACCCTCTGCACTGGGTCCTGTGTGTGCTGGGAAGGAATCTGAGTGCCAGAGAAACACTGCTGAAGCTGACTGTGACCTTAGATCCCTGCCTTTCAGAACAAAGTCTGTTTAGTGGACACCAGGCAAGAAGCCAACAGTTATGGGGCACTCTTAACACTGTCTTGACTTGGGACTAAAGGAGCCCAGAGAGGCACCTCACTCACCTTGGGACTCCTAGGCTTTTGAGTTGAAGCGGCTGAAGAGATGGCTAAACAGTTAAGAGCACTGGCTACTCTTCCAGAGGACCCAGTCTCATCTTCAGACTTCCTAGAGCACCAGGCATACATGTGGTGCACAGACATACATGTAGGCAAAACAATCATACATGTTAAAAAAAAATAAACATAACGAGTTGAAGTGAGCAGATTGGGACAGAAGAGCAATTCAGACAGTCTGTAGAGAGGGCAGATACCAGCTTCTGGAAGGCTGGCGGATGCATGCAGCACTGTATGAGTCCTACCACACAAGGTACAGAAGTCCTTCCCCATGTCTGGCTAGCAGTCAGACGGCTAACAGCTGTCTCTCCCAACCACAGGCCCAGCCCTCCTCTCTACCCCTTGTCCCCTTCCTGCGGATATAGACAGCACTTCCCTGCCCCCACTGCAGCCCCTGGCGCCCCCTATCCCAGGTGAGTCCCCTATCCCTGCAGCCAGGCTCCTGCTTCCTGTTGCCCAGGCTTCAGTGCCCACACAGGGCTATGTTCAGGCCAGTGCTTACCCTGTGTTAGTTGTCTGTCCATCTGTCTGTCTGTAACCTTTGAGTCCCATGCTGCTCTGTACCTGAAAATACAACTAGAAGTCTTAGTTCAAGCCACACTGAACAGAGCATCCCAGAGCAGCCAGGACAGCAGTGCATATGTGGTTAACTCAGCTCTATTGCTCAGCCTGCTGGGGTATCCTGTGAGCTCTCCCCAAGCCAAGGCAGTACCCTGGAGGTTGTGTCCCTAGCCTCTGTCCTTCAGAGCCTGCCTGCTCAGGGTTCTTACATCTGGTAAGCAGCAAAGGAGAGAATAGTCTCCACACAAGAGGAAAGAGGTGTGTGTGTGTTGGGGGGAGGTGGGTGTACATATGCCCCTTCATTTAGCTCATTCTCTAGTGACAGACCCACTGTCAGGCATGCTGTGGCAAGGCATTCAGCAGCCCATGGTAAGATGTAAAGATTCAGCACCAAAAGCTGAACAGGCCAGCTGAACTGAAGACAAGCCCCAAGAAGACCCCAACCAAGCATGATGGGTCAGAGGCTTATGGGAAGGCAATTCCTAAGAAAGGTGGACAGGGAGGCTGGAGCTGGCTGGGAAATGGGGCAATGGCTGGGAAAAGGAGATCAGGAAGATGGAATGAGAGATGCAGTTAGGGGTGCTTAGGTAGGATTTTAAAAGCCCCAAGCAGCAGCTTGAGGTTTATTCTGGTGTCAGGGAGACTTGAGCTGGAGTGGGCTAGCAGCAGTCCTTTAAAAAGTCTGTCTATTGTGTGGAGAGGAGCCTGGAGGAGCACAGTGGGACAGCAGAAAGGCCCACAGGCTCCTGAGCATGTGGACAGGGACAGGATTGATAACCACCTGAATAGCACATATGTGGGTCTTCTGCAGTGTCCGCGCATACATATCTGTGTACCTTGTGTCCAGGCCAGTGAGTATAAGGTATCTGTCAATTGTGTCCTCTGTGTAGGGACCTCCATACGTGTTCAAAGTCTAGCCCAAATTTCTGGTTTAGTGTTGCCTTTCCTCCTACCTCCAGGTTCACCCACCCGTCCTTGATGCTGGGATCTGGTGTACCTGGACACCCAGCAGCCATCCCTCATCCGGCCATTGTACCCTCCTCAGGGAAGCAGGAGCTGCAGCCATATGACCGAAGCCTGTGAGTTAAAACATAGGCTGGGAGGAGGGGACAAGAAGGTGTGAGCCGGGCAGGTGAGCAGAGTGGTTTGGTCAGCCAGGATGTACAAGCCTCCTACCAGGTTCAAGGTCTTCTTCCTGGCATCTTAAAGGACTGCCTGTAGGGCCCTGCCAAGCTGTCCTATGGCTCTGGCACTGACCATCGCTGTGCTTCGTAATCTTCAAAAGCAAGAGTAGGTGGGGAAGGGATAAGGAACAAAACTTTTGTTTGAGCCAAGAAGGGAGGGGTGAGTCTGTGTTTTCCCCACTTGGCTGTGGTATTCTTGAAAGGAACAGTTACATTCTCTGCTCACTAATGTGGGGCAGTTAGAAGATTCTACTTAGAAACCGCTACAAAAAGAGTGGTGGAGCTAGGTAGTGGTGGCACACACCTTTAATGCCAGCATTTAGGAGGCAGATCTCTGGGTTCAATGCCAGCTTGGTCTACATAGAGAGTTTCAGGATGGTCAGGGCTACACAGAGAAACCTTGTCTCAAAAAACCAAAAGAAGCAGAGGGGAAATTGGTGACATTAGGTAATGGTCACTGCCAGGGCAGGGGTGGGGGTAGGGTTACTTTCTTTCCAAGTAATGTAATTTGATTGTGCACCCCAGGAAAACACAAGCAGAACCCAAGGCAGAGAAGGAGGCTAAGAAGCCAACCATCAAAAAACCCCTCAATGCTTTCATGCTTTACATGAAGGAGATGAGAGCCAAGGTCATTGCAGAGTGTACACTCAAGGAAAGCGCTGCCATCAACCAGATCCTGGGTCGCAGGGTGAGGCCATGGGCAAGTGGGCTGGCAGGGATTGCCCCCAGTCCCTTTCATCCTGGTACAGCTTCCTAACTCTCTGGTGCATCCCGTCCACCCGCTTCCTTGTTGCAGTGGCATGCACTATCTCGAGAAGAGCAGGCCAAGTACTATGAACTGGCTCGCAAGGAAAGGCAGCTGCACATGCAGCTATATCCAGGCTGGTCAGCGCGGGATAACTACGTGAGTGGCCAGCACTACACCACAGGGAGCGGGGGACACCTTTGAGATACCATACCCAAGGCAACAACCTCAACGTGGGAAGGGGAATATTTTTTTGTCTTGATGGTACAGGCAAAGTAACTCACAGAGAGAGAGCCCAAGACCTCCCTTGGCTATTCAGAAGAGGAGAGAAAGCTGAAGCGACTCTAAAGGCAGTTCTCCACTCCAGAATACATTTCATTTGTATGACTGCTGCCTAGTATCTGGTTTGGCCATGTGAGAAGGGGAAAGAAAGGGCCTAGAAATCCCTCCTGTACTCATAGGGGAGATCAGTTTGAGCGAGGGAAAGACTCCTAAATGTACCCTATCTGCAGTAGCCTTGCAAGAACTACAGCTAAGGAAGAGGAGCCCCAATATAGGAGAGACCTATTGACCTGGAATCTCAAAGGCAATAGGCTGCAGATATCCCAATGTCCACCTCCTAGAACCAACCATCTCTCTTGTTCCTACAGGGAAAGAAGAAGAGGCGGTCAAGGGAAAAGCATCAAGAATCCACCACAGGTGAGGCCTTGCTTGCTTCAGTAGTAATAGAGGTGCCTCTCTCCACGTTCCTATTGTAAGAGCAGCCTCCTCTGGCCCAGAGGGTGGGGTGGAACACTCAGCCAGGAACCTTCAGGGCCTGAGCTCTCTGCAAACAAATCTGCATCTCTGAAGTCTAATTCCATGCAAGTAACAGTTTTAACTAGGAACAGACCACCAGAAGCCAACTCCATAGTGATACAACCCTATGCCACCTTTGCCAGCCCTGCTCACAGCTAGGTTTCACCAGAGAAGCTAATGAACTGATTATATGGTTCCATGTCTATAGCAAAAATGTCAGCCAGGACCCAATATTAGTCACAGAGCCTGCTAACAGGTACCTGGTGATTTCTCCATCACTAGTTCCCATTTCTCCTGGCAGTGGAAAGTGCCGCAGAAAGCCCAGATAAGCCATCCTGCTGCATGCCTCATTCTTGTCCCCAACTCTGATTTAGATGACAGTCTATAACATTCTCAGCTGTGTTGCCCCAAACAGGAAAGCTGGAGCCTAGGATTGGGATAGGACAGGAAAAAGTCCTCTCGTCCTGTGTCTCAAGATAGGAACAGGTCCTTCTTTCCATCTGTAAGTGTGGAATATTTTGTATAAATATGCTATACCTTTAGTCTTATTAGGAATATGGACCAGAGGGAGATGGGATATTGATGACAGTGAGGAAAAACTCTGTTAAAACATGCAGGTAGTTAGGGGAAAGGAACAGACAGCCCCAGGATAGGAAATGCAGAAGCCATGCTAGAAGGATCAGTCAAGGGAAAGTAGCATGAGGACTTCCTCCACACTCCATTCTTCCCACTGACTCTTGCCCAACTGGGTAACTGCCTTTTCTCATACTTTGCTCTGGGTCCTAAGGCTTCCCCTGGGGCCAGCTGTGCCATGGAAAGGTCCATTCTGCCTGTGGGGGCTATGGGGTGTCTGTGACTGGCTAACACTGATGTTACCTCTTCTTTCTGGGCCCTGTTCTGCCCTGCTGCCTGCCTGCTCGCCCTCTGCCCTGTTCTGCCCCTCTGGCATGGCTGTGAGCAGACCCTGGCTCGCCTAAGAAATGTCGTGCTCGCTTTGGCCTCAACCAGCAGACGGATTGGTGTGGTCCGTGCAGGTGGGTTTGTCCCCACCATCATTCTCCCTTTGCTTCAAGCTGCTTCCCTTAATGCACATGTTCTTCCGGGTCTGCAGCCCCTCCTTTGGTCCCTCAGTCCCCTAGCAAGCCCTGTAGAGAAGGAAACCGCCTCCTAAGAATATGTCTGACCACTGAACACAGACAGTGGAGATAACTAGTCAAGGTGGAACGAGCAGAGAGGGAAAGACAGCATTCTAAGGAAAGAAAGGCATATGCAAGTGGGTGGCTTGGGTACTAGCCAGGTTTACCAGGTCCTCAGAAAACAAATCTGTCACACTTAGGTGGCCTGAGCCTCTACTCTTAGCCTCAGAGTGATTAAGGTCCACAGACTCCCTCATTTCCTTAAAATGAAATCCCTGTCTAAGAAAAGCAAGGTGATGGTATCAGAGACTTCTGGAAATAGTCTGATCACCAGGAAGCTGTGTGCAACTTGCCATCTTGTACCTGTTAACACTAAAAAGGTTACAGAGGCTAGTGGAAGAGAGATATCATAGGGCAAAGAGAAAAGAAATGTGGCATGTGTGTCTGTATGTGTGTACATGCTCACAATGGAGACTCCATCCCTAGAAGAGGTCCTATACCATCCATTTGTGCTGTTCAAGACAAACTATGACTAGGGATTGGTATACACCTGTAACCCTAGCACTCAGAAGGTAGAGGCAAGCCAGAGCAAACCGCAAACTGTCCAGAGAGCTACAGTTGTAAATAGGCAACAGTCACCATGCACTTCTTCCACTAGCCTGGCTGTGAGAACCAAGATTGTCACAAGCATCACAGTCCCTTGACTCCTAATCCCTGCAAGTATAAATGGAACAGAAGCTCAAGGACCCAAATAAAGATAGTTCTCCTGGAAAATAGGAGGCCTACCCACAAAAGGTTCCACTTGCCACCTTGTGGCTGTTCTACATAATTGCACTCATCCTCGGTCTGGGCCAGGTGGGGCTGAAGGAATGGACATAGTTTCTGGGCCTTGGAGAGAAAGGACAAAGTGGTTAGCCAGGCCAGTTCAAGGACAGCCATTTTCTAGTTGTGGTGTGTGACTATGGATTCACCCTCTGTTTACAGATAACTCTCTTCACTATTCCTAGGAGGAAAAAGAAATGCATTCGGTACTTACCCGGAGAAGGCCGCTGCCCCAGCCCCGTTCCTTCCGATGACAGTGCTCTAGGCTGTCCCAGGTCCCCAGCTCCCCAGGACTCACCCTCTTATCTTCTGCTGCCCTACTTCCCCACAGAACTGCTTGCTAGCCCAGTGGAGCCAGCACCAACATTCTCAGGTCACTCTGCAGCTGTCACTCTTCCAGCTCCTGAGTCCCCAAAGACCCTCCACAGCACCCTCCAGAATACACAAGTACAGCAACAGGAACCTCAGAGGCAGGCAGCCTAGCACACACAGAACACCTGGCTTGCTCCAGGGGCCCACCCCTAACTCAAGAGGAGGCAACAACAAGACCAGATCACGGAACTGGTTAGGGGTCCTCTCTAAGTGCTGAAGATTTCAAAGGCTGCTTAAACTACTCCCAGAACTGGAGGCCATCAAGTCACGTGGTAGGGATCACATCTGTGCAGCTGTATCGTCTCCCGAAGGGCATCCTGGTACCTATGGTAGCCATACCTTTTCTTTTTGTCATGCCTTGCTAGCTGGATGCCCCTACAGTTTTTTGGTTTGGTTTGGTTTTTTTTGCTGCAGGTCAGATGAGCTGGACTGGCGGAGTTCAGCTGCCTTCTCTACAAATGCCTGTCCTCTGCCACACCTTCTCCATGCCAATACTTCTTGGACCAAGAATACCTGCTTTATCACACAAGATGATTTTGTGGTTGGTCACCAGCCACAAAAGTCTAAATAACGCTTCTCTCTTAAGGAGCAGAGAAGCTCTGTTTACAAAGAACAGCTGCTGTTCATAAGCTGGGTCAGAGGAAGCTTCTTACTGTCTTCCCAGGAGCTTGCAAGAGGAGGAAATGGGATAGGTTAGGTTTAAGGTCTTTCAGCCTAGGCAACAAAATAATACCAACCCTACCTACTGGTGGACAGTACAGTACTCAGCTTTAATTAGAATGACTTGGAAATCTTTCCTGAGAAACTCACCAGCCTTAGAAACTATAGTCAATAAATTGAAGTTGGCTTAACTCCAGTGCGCACCCTTCCCAGTGCCATTTCCAGGCTCATCTATGTCAGCTGAGTCACAGCTCCTGGGCAGCTGTGGGAGAGCAAATCCCAAATCCCCCAACCGGCAGAGCCCATCTTTCAGCATTTAGAACTGGCCAGCTTCAGTTTCTCTGTGGGGCTGCAGGAAGGAAGAGATGTTACAACTAAAGCAAGGAGTCCATAAAACCTCTTGTGGTGGGCATGGTTCTTTGCCACATTCTAGAAACCCTTTTTGAGCCAAACTTAACCCTGAGCCTTGAAAAACAAGTTTTTTTGTTTAACTTTTTTTAAAATTCTTTTCACTGTATATAGCCTGAATCCAAAGAAAAGGGGCTACCAATATATTCTACACACCTTTAAAAAAAAAAAAAGTGCCTTAGTTCCTACTTTAACCACTGGTTTCTCAATCCAAAGATCATGTTTCTAGTGTAGTGTGTCACAGTGTTGAAAAGATTGCTGGAATGTGGTGGGTCACACCTCTAATCCCAATACTTGGGAGGTAAAGGCAGGTGGATCTCTCTGAGTTCCAGGACAGCCAGGGTTGTATAGAGAGACCTTGTCTCAAAAAGGAGAAAAAAACCTGATGTAGTATCCAAAATATTTTTGTATTAACGCATTATCATAGAAAAACTTTTTTAAGCAAGAGAATAAAGATACTTTTTACTGGGTTTGTTTTTCAAAGCCTGACTAATAAGCTGATTCAATTAACAGTGCCTTCCTAATGCTCCTTTTCTTCTTAGCTGTCACCAAACATGGAGTGTATTCCCTGTGTGTACAAAGATCCCAAGACTGCCAAGCTGCAAAAACCAAAAATCACTCTCAGCATTTCCTACAGGGGCTTGGTCCTGATCACCACAGCTAATCTCACTTTACAAGCTCTACTCTTAATCCTTTGACATTACAATCAAGGCAGGCCAGCCTATTCCCCAGTACCTCTGCACCCAATGAGTTGCCATGCAGACACTGGAAAGTCCAACCTGAAACGTATTCTGAATCTGTTTTCCTCTAAGGACAGAGAGAAATGATACCCCATTCTGATTTCAAGGGAAATAAGCAATCCACTGACTTTTTAAAAATACTTATTTTTACGTATGAATGTTTTATCTGCATGTATGTCTTAATGCCAGAAGAGGGCATCAGTTCTCACTATAGATAGTTATAGTGTACCATGTGGTTGCTGGGAATTGAATTCAGGACATCTGCAAGAGCAGCCAATATGTTCTTAACCACAGAGCTATCTCTCCAGCTCCCTATACACAGACTGCTTACAAGGACTGCCTGTTAAGGCACTTTCAAGCATTTTCTCCCAGTTTTATAGAAACCTCTGAAGTCTGAATAAACATCCAAGTCCTACCATGTTATACTGTGCTGCTAACTTCTAGAGCTCTATCATGAATGTAAATGGTATCAACACCACCTCAGGTCAACCATTAGATAAAAAGTTTTCAAGGACAGCCACCAGACCATTATCCTGAATTGCAGCTTTCAGTTCACGGAACGTCATTTGGATTTACACCCCAAAGTATGTAGACCACTAGAAACTGCAGTCCTGGACTTTCACCTCTTTTGGGGAGGATACTAAAAATGACCAGACAATCTTTAGACATCTGTCCCACTTTAAAGAATTCTGCTCTGGCTGTAGGCCCAGTCATTCCCCCCCCACCCCCACCCGGGTGCGGGGTGGGGGTGGGCCGACAAACTACATCCTCACCAGGTACAAGTTGGGATTTTTTTTTTTTTTATTTGATCTGGTGTGTCCTTTAGAGTACACTGGATACACGAACAATACATTCTTTGTAGGGTGCAGGGCTGGTATGTGTGGCAGCAGGACACATTGGCAACTTTGTTAGGATCAGAACAACTATTTAGGAAAACAGACTCCAAACAAAATCTGAATCCTCCCAAATCACAACACTACATTCCTGAGACCTGAGGAGGTCTTAAGGACTTGAGAATGCAAACCTAATTCAACTTCACATGGCCAGCCAAGAACCAACCCAATTTTCAGAGACATTAGAGAACAGGATATCCCCCTAATCTTTCTGACCCATTCCATGACAACTGGCATACTTAAGACTTCCCCGTAGACAGGGTTTCTCTGTGGAACAGTCCTGGATATTCTGGAACTAGCTCTTGTAGACCAGTCTGGCCTCGAACTCAGAGATCCGTCTGCGTCTGCCTCCTGAGTGCTGGGATTAAAAGCATGCACCACCACCACCGAGGCCGCCCTGCAATCCATTCTTAACTGCTCCCTCTGCTGCAGCTGTTTCCTATCCTTTGTTGAGTGGACACATTGAGAGTAGAGCCCAGCATGCTACCAGGGCCTTCCTGTACCTGCCAGTCTGAAGGCACAAGTTTTCCTCTTTTCCAAGCTCAGTGACAACTCTCTGAGCTACACCTGTATCTAAACTTCCTTTTGGCTGTGAAAGTAGGCTCTGAAATACTGCCTGTCTCTGTCCAGGGAACAATGAAGAGTGATAGAAAGGCCTAGCCTAAATAAAGAGAAACGGGACGGCACTTCACGTTCTGTTCTCCTGCATCTGTTCCAAGGAAAACAGAAGGGACAAGAACTGCAAAGCCGTATCAAATCCTACTTGTCAAGCCAATGTGTCAAAGAATTCAACTAAGATGTCAAATTAATTACATAAAGCTGAGCTGGATTTTCCCTGTAGTTAGAAAGGCTATCTTACTTTTCTTGAGTCTCTTCAGAGCTTTCCTGATGTTCCCCAGGGGTTCCAGTCCTGTAATCCAGTACTTGGGTGGTGAACACAGAAAACAGTGATACACACTGAGTTGGAGTCTACCTTGGATACATGAGGGAGAGGCAGATAGGATGACATCTGGCATCTACCTGAGTTCTACCTGGCAGTAACCAATCTGCCAACACCTTCCTCTTTGCTATTAAAATAACAAGCATTTATCTTTAATCCCAGCACTTGGGAGGCAGATGTTCTTGGTTCCTGGTTTGGGGCTGTATGTAGCTCCATTAGGTAGAGGACTCACCTGACATACACAAAACCCCTGGGTTCAAATACCAAAGCCATGAGCTTCCCTTTGTTATCATTCTGTGTACTTTGTGGGATTTTTTTCACTTCTTATACAGGAATGCATGGAACAGTACTGCTCCAAATTCTGGATCAACTATCATTAATTAAAAAAAAAAAAGAGAGGGAAAGGCCAAAATCACAGATAACCTTTTTAACTTGTTCAGGGCCATGCAGGCTCAAAGCAGTGGAGGCAAGACTCCAGCGTCAAGTGCCACTTCAGGCTGGTGTTAGAAAAAGGGAGGAAAAGCCAGGCAGTGGTGGTGCACACCTTTAATCCTAGCACTCAGAAGGTAGAGGCAGGCAGGATCTGAGTTCAGCAGAGTCTACTGAGCAAGTTCCAGGACAGTCGGGGCTGGCTACACAGAGAAACAAAACAAAACAAAAAAAAAAAAGAGTAGAAATCATACTGAGACTTTTGGGCAGTTAAGAGCTCAGCTCCTTGGTAGATAGGAAGTCTAATACAAGCCAATATATACTGAGACTCATATCTAAGACAGCAAGCAAGAAAGACTTTTTAGGTTATAGTTTTCAAAAAGTCAAGGAGAGAACACAAACTCATTTTCTCTGCCCGCTCCATCTTTGGAATACAGATAATGTCCTTACTCCTGCCCTCACAATTCCTGGGTTTACTAATTCACAAAGCAACAAAGAATGAAGTCAGATGATGTAAACCACCCCCATTCCAGTCACTGGAGATGCTAGGGTAAGACTACTATGTCCATGAATTGAGAGATCAGCTTGGGCCACACATCAAGACCTGGCATTTGTCCCTCTTGCCTCAAAAAAGGCTCATAGACAAGCTCTTTTTCCTAGTAGCTGATACCTGCTTTATAAACATGGTATATATCAGCAATCCTAGAGCTTTAGTGAAGACTTGGGCTTTTCCTGGCACAAGCAGGACTGCTGGGTAAATGTGCTTACTACAGTAATAACTGGCAAGTGAGACACTTCTGGCAACACTGAATGTTGTTACCTTCCTCACTGAACCAACACAATAGGGTGAGGCATATTTCTTAAGATTAATCACAGAGGGGCTGGAGAGATGGCTCAGAGGTTAAGAGCATTGCCTGCTCTTCCAAAGGTCCTGAGTTCAATTCCCAGCAACCACATGGTGGCTCACAGCCATCTGTAATGGGGTCTGGTGCCTTCTTCTGGGCTGCAGGCATACAGACAGAATATTGTATACATAATAAATAAATAAATATATTAAAAAAAAGATTAATCACAGAGAACAATGCTGTTTCTAAAAGAATTCCAGATAATAAATATCTTAAACTTTTTGGGCTGCTTTATTTTCACAGATAGTTTTAAGAGTGTGTGTGTGTGTGTGTGTGTGTGCGCGCACGCCCTGTGTGCAAGTGGCAGTACAGGAATTGGTTTTCTCCATCTTTTGACTTCTTGGGGATCAAACTCAGGTCAACCAGCTTGGCAGCAACTGCTTTCATCTACTCAGACAATATATTTTTATTTATTTTTATTTTTTCAAGGCAGGGTTTCTGCGTGTAGTCTTTGCTATCCTGGAACTTACTATGTAGACCAGGCTGGCCTCGAACTCAGAGATCCACCTCTGCCTTTTATCACTACTGCCCAGCTATATTTTTATATTTAACAAAGGTTTCAAATTCAAATCAAAGAGTATCTTACACTAAAGAAGACAGAACCAGTCTGAAACAGGATTATAACATTCGCACAGCTTTCTCTGTGTAGAAGGGGCTGGAGAAATGGCTCAGAGGTTAAGAGCACTGGCTGCTCTTCCAGGGGTCCTGACTTCAATTCCCAGTAACCACATGGTGGCTCACAGCCATCTATAATGAGCTCTGGTGCCCTCTTCTGGCATGCAAGCATACATGAAAGGAATGTTGTATACATAATAAATAAATCTTTTTTTAAAAAAATGAGAAGAGCCGGGCGGTGGTGGCGCACGCCTTTAATCCCAGCACTCGGGAGGCAGAGGCAGGTGGATCTCTGAGTTCGAGACCAGCCTGGTCTACAAGAGCTAGTTCCAGGACAGGCTCCAAAACCACAGAGAAACCCTCCTGTCTCGAAACAAACAAACAAACAAATAAATAATAAAAAAATGAGAAGATAGCTCAGATGCAGAGCACTTAGCATGAACAAGGCCCTAGGTTCAAAAAAGGTTGTACAACAAAGTACCATAAAAGGGAAGCTAGAAATAATGGTTGAACAGTTATGTCTTAGGAACTAAGCAATGCATAAAAGGGGGGTGGCACAAGCCAACAAGATGGCTCAGTAAATAAAGGTGCCTCCTACCTAGTGTGAGTGACAACTTGAGCCACACAGGTGGCAGGAGAGACTCTCAAAGTCATTCTTTGACCAACACAAGTGTGCCACGGTGCATACACCAAGCATGCATGTACACACATAAAATTAAAATGTCATTAAAATATTTTAATGTAAAAAGAAAAAAGGACTAAGCATTGGTTTCAAGTAATCGCATAAATTTTAACAGCCTCCAGTGAAAGACAAACCACCTAAGATTCTCGTCAACTAAAAATGACTAAACTTAGTTCATTTAAGTGAAGACACATTTACATTCACAAAAGCAACTGTTTACTACCTATTGCATTACTTTTTATTAAAAAGCATCTTGCACTTCAGGATGTGTGTTTTCTGAGTTTTGCCATACACTTTAATGCTAAAGATTAAATTACTTTTTACATGCAAGTAGTGTCTTTCCCCATGTAGGAACAATGATGATAAAAAGATGACATACCACATGAAGTAAGTGTCATTTTTAATTGAAAAGCTAACAAATGTCTAGTTACAGCCCCTTGAAAAGCTAAGAAATGTCGAGGTACAGCCTTCCTCCCAAACCAAAATGGGTAGTAAACTAAATCTCTAGGCAACATATTCAAAGCTGAGATTAAAAATTAAAGGAGAGGCGGATAAGACAAAACAAGTCCTCAGATCCAATTAAGAGAGCCCAGCTGTATACAAGCTTACCAGCAGCAAAGAGGCTGGAACACATCTTAACAACCCCACTTGCAACATTGACTTCAAGTTCCCTTGTTCCAGTTTCCAACTCATGAACAAAGATCATGTTTTATTAATTCTATTTCAGAATACTT